CAGTTTTATATAGACGAGGTAACCAGACATCATCAGCCAAGTCATGATGGACTCTTTGTGCTCAATAAAGGCTGTTACTGTGAACATTATGGGGACTCACAAAAGATTTTACCGAGGTCAGATTTATTTGGGGGAAGGATTACTCTGATGACAAACCTTGTGTGGGATAGGTGGCTGGGAAAACATAGGCACAGTGAGATCCACTTAGAACATGGAGGGAGCCAGCTGTCTAGAGAGTCTGAGAAGGTGAAGAATACTGCTTACCCAAGAAGGTGATATTTGAATCCCAGGGCATGAATTTGGGAAGAGGAGGAAAGGAAGATTGGCTAGGGTCGGGGCGGGGAGGGGAGGCAGGACCCAGGAGGCAGCAGGGGCATGAGAATGTTGGAGAGGGAGATGCCAGAGGGCTGAGCGCCCCAACACTGCCAAGCATCACAGGACCAGGAGAGACCCTGAGGAGAGCACCGGCGGGTTGGGGGAGAGAGAGGACATGTCTCGGATGATTTCCAGGCTTCTGACTCAGAAAACTGAAGAGATTTTGGTGTCATGAGAAGAGACAAGGGAAATGGAACAAAACAATGATTTTGAGCGTTGGCGCAGGGGGGTGAGTGCCCTGGTGCAACAGCCCAGTGGCTAGACCCACTGGAGAGGGGGCCTGGTGCCTGGCCCCGCTCAGGATTGGGGAGGAGCAGGAATCTGAGGTTGTGGGAATGGATGGCCCCACCCAGGGAGTTTCAGAGAGGGAGACCGGAGAATTAAGGGGGTGATGAATGCTGCGATGTATTCATCAGCAGCTTGGGGCCCAGCCGTCTGGACCTGGGCTTTCCCACCACTACTCTTCTCGCAATTATCAGCTGAGCGCTTCGGCACAGAATTCCCCATGCACTGTCAAATCTTTACCATTTGGTGTGCATGTCTGGGGTTTGCAACTGCATAGTTTCTGAAGACGAGGATAAGGCCTTTATATTTCTTTTATCTTGAGCACCATGGAGAACAGAGTGGGTGCTCCATGGAATGAGCTGGTTAGTAGGTTTTTAGCCAGACTAAGGGGACACAGCGAAAATATGACTTAGAACAGTGGTCACCAAACTACAACTCTCGGGGTCAGCGTGGCCCGCTGCCTGGCTTTGTTAATAAAGATTTATTGGCACACAGCCATGCTCATTTGTTTCCGCATGTTGTCTGTGGCAGCATCTGCACTATGTGGGCTCCTTGGGTGGTCGTGACAGAGGCCACGTGACCAGCAAAGCTGACAACATCCGTGGTCTTGCCCTTCACAGAAAATGCATGTTGGCTTAGAAGGCATTGGTGATAGTCTGTGCAGTGGATCATCTGAATTAAAGGCACTAGGCCACCCTCCCATGATTCTCATCTGCTCTTCCCTCCCCTGCAGGCTGACAGCGGAGTTACTGCGCCTTCTTTGTGCCGAACCCCAGGTGAAAGAGCAGGTGAAGCTGTACGAGGGGATCCCAGTGCTCCTCAGCCTGCTTCACTCTGACCACCTGAAGCTGCTCTGGAGCGTCGTCTGGATTCTGGTGCAGGTTTGTGAGGACCCTGAGACCAGTGTGGAAATCCGCATTTGGGGAGGCATCAAGCAACTTCTTCACATTTTACGTGGGTGAGTCCAATTGGGCTTTGGCCTACTTTGCCCTCATCATCGAAAGGTGGGGTGCATGCTCAACTCACTCTTTCTGGCTGTGAGGTTTCTCTGGCCATTCATGTCGCTGAGGCGTTGAGATTGGTCACAGATGCTCTGAATCAGAGATGGGGCATTTGTCTTTAAAGCTCCTGGGAGCCCTGGTGTTTTTGACTCAGCAGCTTTGAGTACAGCGCTAGGAAGGTAGAGGCCAGGTGCCTGCAAAGGTAAGTTGCATGGAAATCCAGTAGCCTCAAGAATACATTTGTCTTTGAATCTGTATATTCATGTCATCCAACAAATGTAATAATTACTAATAATTGACTAAAATATTTGTGTTTACATGTATGTCACACTCAAGTAAAGAGAAAACAAAGCCTATATTAAAGGAACAGATGTATAATCCTCAGTAATAAATAAATAAATACAACATTATTAACTGATTGTTATGTTAGGGACCCTGGCCAGTTGTTCTTTGTTTTTCAGGTCTCCAAGGTGGGTTCACATCTTCTTATCTCTCTTTAAAAAAACTGAATTTCAATAACATTCCAAATCTGGAGAGTGGGAATGAGTGGCCTGTTAAAACGGTTTCAAGTTGAAGTTCTGCTGGACTTTGTTGGGATAAGCACTATATTTTATGGATTTGATATATTCAAGTATTGAGTAGTAACATCTTTTGCTGCCTTCATTGGGAAGGTTCTATTACCTCAGATTATTACAGAGCATAATTCAGTCAAGGAGGTACAGAATCAAAACTGAAAAGGAATATGTCTGCCTGAAAAGGATCACCTTTATGGTCTGTAGAACATAAATAAACTTCATTCTAATAAAAGCCAGGGAGACTTATCAATATTTATGTGACTAGATATTATCAAATCAATATCATTCAGACTTTGTACTTCCTGTGTCTCGGGGGATACTGTGGAGCTCTGTGGTATCACCTTCATTTTCTCTGAGGGAACATTCTAGAGCCTAAGAATAGACTGCAGAGAAGTAAATCACTAGCTCTGTTAGTGATTTTGTCATTACCACAACCAAGGGAAACATGTACAGACTGTGGACAACTACTCCCTTTTATGAATATCACATAAAGATCTAAAATATTTTAAAGTATAAATGATAAACTTTTGATTAGTGCTGTGACATAATAAGCTAGTCTCGTGGTTAAAATAATCACAATTGCCAAAAGTTTTATGTTTGATTGTTACCTGACTTTGTGGATGGTGATGGTGGTGGAGGTAGATATTGTTGGTTCACCATATTTATTTCGACAGCTCTTACGTTGCACTCCCAAAGAGCAGCTGTTTCCTTGTGATAAAATTAAATTCTTTAATAATTAAGCAGTGCCTCAAAAGCACCAGTTTACTGCTTTTGCTCAAGCCATAGCTAGTAGAAAAGAGTTCCTTCACACCAGTCCTCTCCTATGGAGCAATGTAAGAAAACTCTTCCCTGGGAAGATGATTTATGTCAACATTTTTTTTTTTCTGTTAAATATATCTCAGAGCCCTGGGAGAATTTATTACACCAACTTGGTACACAGTATCCTTTCAGAACTTGTGCTGCCCCTGGGCTGCCTGGAGCTGGCACCAGGGGAGGAGCTTGCCAGCTGGTTGGCTGTCTTGAGTATGAATAAGCACTATTGTAAGGGAAGTTTCCAGAAGACCAATGTATGCCCATTTACCTGCAGAGTCAAATTCAAAGGAAGTTTCTAAAGGGCTACCTACTCTTGATCTGGTGGCATGGTCCATAAAATTTGAATTTCAACATAATTACATTGACCACCGAGTTCACTGGGTGTGACTGTCCCTAGTCCCAGCTCCATCGCCTTCCCCATGCTGCCTGGCATAATGTCACTGGGCCCAGATGACATGGGAAGGAAGCCAAGGAGGTGCCATTGTTGTTGCCTTGCAAAAGAAATAAATTAAAAAAGTGGTGATCAGGTGAAACAAGAGGGAACAAAGCAAATAAAGACAACTGAAAAGTCTATCATGGAAGACACCAAAATAAATAAACAGAAAAGCAAATGCTTCGTTTTATCAGAGCTTGAAATTTATGAAATGGAATTAAGGACAATGTGATCGCATGAAAACTAGAACTAGGACAGAGTGATACTGAATACTGTCCGCAGAACTGATAAATCTGCCAACTTACCAAAATGAGGAAAAGGGATGACAGGCCTGGAATAAGAATCACACATGATGTAGCGAAAAAGGGAAAAGAATAAGAGCCATTAGAAAATGAAAGCTGTGCATTTTCACATGTGAGTAGTTGATACCCTAAAGTAGGGGACAAAGTAAAAAGAACTGAAAATAGCTCAAGGAGTGGTAGGTGAGAACTTTTCTAAAATAAAGATTGGAATTTCATGGAAAAAGAAAAGGAAAAATGAAAAAGATGGGGATTCAGGTGAACTGACTGCAGCCTCAGAGTTCAAAAACAAAGATGACTCTGTGTGAGTATGTGTTTTGGGGAGGGTGAAGGGCAGTCTTTTCAATAAGTGCTGAGCAGTTTGAGTCACCATATTAAAAAAAAAAAAGCCCCTACCTCACACCATACACAAAAGTCAATTTTAGATGGGTAGAAAGGAGAAACTTTAAACATTAACATAGGAGAAAATTTCATGGGAGAGGCAAAGATTTCTTAAGTAGAACCCAGAAATTACTGACTATGAAGAAAAATCAATCAACTGGTCTCTTTATTAACTTTTCTTTTTTAGTGACAGAAATTTTGTTTCCGACCGTTCTTCCATTGGGAGCCTGTCCAGTGCAAATGCAGCAGGTCGGATTCAGCAACTTCACTTGTCTGAAGATTTAAGCCCTCGGGAAATACAAGAAAATACTTTCTCTCTTCAAGCAGGTATTTATATCCTATTATTACACTTTATTATTCAGTGCTATATTACTCAGTATATTACGTTATTATTCTCTGTTATAAAATCTGTTTGGTAATAATATTAAGTAAGAGTTCTAAAAATGTGAAGTTAAATTATGTGGGTAGGTACTGACACTTCTTGGTACCTGGGTTGGACCTAAGTGATATCACCAGTCTTCCTCTTCCTTCCATGTTTTGAATGGATGAAGTAAACATAGAAGTCAGGCAGGAACTGAGCAGAATACCAGCTTTGTTGCTGCTAACACTTGGTTAAGCTTGACCTGAGCTTTGTTAGCTTGACCTGAGCTAGAGTCATGGTTTATTACATTCTACATTTGGGGGCACTCCTCCTTAAGGGAGACTGTGCAGTGCACATTCCCATCCCACCAGGCACTAGGGAGTGCCATGGTTACACCTCCAGTTGCCCCTGGGGGATTCCCACACCCCCACAGGTGCAGTGGTGCACACACCTTTAAGTTGTAAAGCCTGTGATCTGCACAGGGCACCTTGCCTTTGGGGCAGCCCCAGGAAGGGAGCAGAGCAGCTCCAGTGTGCCTGTGGGAGAGCAGGCAGGTCCTCAGAGGGGAAGAGAAGTCCTGGCAGGGGAGGAAGAGAGGGAGAAGAGCAGGAGGCTTCCTTTGTTTTCTGCTGTTTCCTCCTGGATCATGGAGATGCTTCTGAGAGTTCTGAGCATAGAGAAATAGGACCGCCACCTGGAGCCAGTGGGGTCACAGAAGAGAGACTGCCTGCATGAGGGGTATTAGCCTGGGAAGGGCAGGCACAGGGGTTTTGGGGCTAGTGATGACCTGTGTGTTTGTATTTATGGAATGGTAGCATTTTACAGGATTTCTACATAAGTTATATCTCATCAACTTGTCTCCTGAGGATGTCTGCTTTGCACAGGTATTTCACACTTGGGTAAGAAGCAAAATGAAATAAAAACTAAACTTGAAGGGGTGAGAGGCGGGGTCTGAGTTTTGGCTGT